TGTTCAGTTCGCAGATGTAATGCGGATGAAACCATGCAGAGCAGATGTGAAGTGGTCCAGCGAGGACGTGAAGTGCACTCTGAGATAAATCTATCACACTTCCTGTCCACAGAAGAGCAACTAAGCTAAGGAGAAACATATTACAGCTGTCAGTCAAACACAGCCGGAATGTGCCGACGTCGTCCTCAGAGAAATTGGGAAACACCTGTTAGGATTAAAAAAACCACTTTATTCTGAGTTTCCGAGGCATGTTTGATGCTTCTTATGTTTCTTAACACCTTGTTTGATAAACTATCGTAACTCGTTTTTGCAGAACAAAAGTCAAACACGATCAGAAAAAGAAACTGCTGTTTTTAGGAGAGACACACAAACAAAAAGGACCGTCTTCGGTCAGGGTGTGGCTGGACAGACGCTCCGCAGCTTCTCATTACAACAAACATTATAATCCCCGTCTCTGAGCCCTTTGTCATCACTCAGACTTCATCTGGAGCAAATCCAGACGAGACTGACACTAAACCGAGAAGCAGGAGACACGTTTAAGATCCTTCTCACAGAAAAATGGTTGTCAACTAACCGAAAGTGTCTCAAACTCAAAGCTTATGATGAAATGTTAAGAAAATCTGGAAATGTTTTGGTCGATTTTTAAGCTAATAATTGAAAATTTCTGTGATTTAATACAAGAATCCATCCAAACATTTTCCGCTCTGATCAATAATCCAACTTCCAGTCATTTTCGGAAAATCCTTAGACTTTGAGAGGAAATAAAGTTGACTTTTATGAACATTTAATGCAATAAACAAAAAAATGAAAAGTTCTTCTGTTAAAAGTCAACTTAAAAATAAACGTTTGATTAAAAATTAATGACAGTTGCAGTAAAAACACACTGGCCCGGATATATGTTCACCAATCATTGATCAAGGATTCTTTATCACATCAGAAGGGGTAATTATTAATCTTCCACAAACATAAAAGGACACACAGGCATGTTTAAATGTCACCGGAAATTTTCTACAAGAAATCTGGCAGCAAAAATAATAATCTGGCATTTTACCAAGTCGCCGTTGTTTAAAGTTAATTTAAAGAGCAAGTCACCCCCTACCAGAGTATTACTCCACTCCCACTTCCTGTTTGAAAAATGCAACAAATGCTGTTGCCTGGCAGACCGAGAGGGCGGAGCCGCTAACAAATACACACACACAGGCTCACAACAACATTGTGACATCATATGGTACCAGCTAACGTTCTAGGGTACCTCTTAGCCAATAGTGTAGGCATATTTAAATTCAAATGCAGTGCAGAATTTTTACCTGACAACGGCACAACACCGACAGTTTTAGGCAGAAAATTTAAATTTGAACTAAAATGCACCAACGTGCTAAACTATTGATCACGTGTGTCTGCAGCACGATTAGACACACATTTATGTAGTTTATCAGAAAAAATAAGTTGATTTGGAGGTGACTTGTTCTTTAAATCTGTAATCTGGAGTTTTCCCCCTTTCGGGATTTATGTATGATTTTCGGGAGGTCCTTCCTCCAGGGTCACACGATCGACAGGGCTGAACCGGTCTGTTTTAGTGAAGAGGAGCTAAGCCACAAACCAAAGCTCTTCATGCACAGATCGATCTCCGATACCCCCACAAATGGTGATGAAGGTAGATAATGACAGAAAGAAATACAAGTGGCACTGCCTCTCCATTCTGGACAATATCTGTCCTGTCAGAACCAGATCAGTTCCTGCAGTGAACCCTACTCCCTGGTTTAATGACAGCCTTCACAGCCTGAAGCGCCAATGCAGAAAAATTGAGCGTTTGTGGAAGAAAACCCATCTCCACGTCCATCTGCTGCACCTAAAGGATCTTCTGTCATCCTTTAACTCTGCAGTCAGAGACGCTAGGGTTTCATATTTCTCCAACCTGGTGTCCCAGAGCAAAGGGAACCCCAAGGTGCTGTTTAACACCATCAGCAGCATCGTCTCCCCTGCCTCTCCTACAGCCTCCATCCACTCTGTTGCAGACTGTGAGAACTTTCTGTCTTTCTTTGTGGACAAAGTCAATAAGGTTAGATCTAGCATCTCTCCTTCAGCCTTATCACTGCCTCTCCCGACTCCAACCAGGCCCATCATCCTAGATAGCTTTGCTCCTGTTTCTTTGCCTGAGTTAACCAAACTAGTTAACTCTATGAAGACCTCTGCATGCCCCCTCGACATCTTACCCTCATCTTTGTTTAAAAGTGCTTTTCTGTCCATCGGTCCCAGCGTGCTCTCTATAATTAATGCTTCTCTGGTCTCTGGTCAGGTCCCTGCTTACTTTAAGAACGCTGTAATCCACCCGCTTCTTAAAAAAACGAGTCTTGACCCTCTCTCCATAGCAGCTTCAGACCCATCTCTAAACTTCCGTTCATCTCCAAGATCTTGGAAAAGGTTGTGGCTAAACAACTCACAGCTGCTCTTGATGAACATAACATCTATGATAGCTTCCAGTCAGGTTTTCGTAGAGCTCATTCTACTGAAACAGCTCTTCTTAGGGTCTCTAATGACCTTCTGACTCACAGTGATGCAGGGGACTGTTCTGTTCTGGTCCTGCTGGACCTGACTGCAGCCTTTGACACTGTTGACCATCACCTGCTACTGGAGAGGCTCAGATACTGGGTAGGCCTATCAGGATCTGCTCTGGAGTGGTTCTCCTCTTATCTCTCTGAGCGCTCCTTTTCTGTGGCCGTCTCCAAGTTTAGGTCCTCCACCAACTCCCTTACCCATGGTGTCCCACAAGGTTCTGTGCTGGGGCCTCTACTCTTCCTCCTCTATCTGCTTCCTCTTCAGTACATCCTGAGCTCCTTCAAAGGAATCTCCCACCATCTTTATGCAGATGACATCCAACTGTACATCTCCTTTAAGCCCCATGAGATGTCTAAGCTGCAGCTGTTACACACCTGCTTAGACTCTATCAAAACCTGTATGGCTGGGAGCTTTCTACAGCTGAATGAAGATAAGACTGAGATCCTCTCCCAATGATTGGACAGGAATTCGAGAAACGTGATTGGTAGCCAAGATTCGTGCTCTCATTGGTTCCACCCAAGTTCCTCCCACTGACGCTAGAATTGAGACAAAAAGATCCGTAACTGTAGATTTGAGATTTTTACCTGTAGAATGAAATGTGTGTTTTGAGAGTTTTGATTTCAAACTTGTACCTTGATTTTTTTTCAATTTGGAAGTCTGCTAGTTACAAAACGAAAGTTTCATGTTTCTGAATGAATGCTTGATGTTACAAAATGAGTAGTAAATGTACAAAATAAAAGTTTAATTTTACAAAATAAAAAATACATGTACAAAATACAATGTTCCTGTTACAAAACAAGAAATACAAGTACAAATTGAGAATTACAAGTTAGAAAACTAAAGTTACAAGTTACGAATCCAAAGTTACAAGTTACGAATCCAAAGTTACAAGTTACAAATCCAAAGTTACATGTGATGAAACATGTTCGAAGTTACAAAACTTGTTACAAGTTACGCTGAATATTGTCCCAATCCTAGCTCCATACTACACCCCCAGCAGGTCCTTGAGGTCCAGTGACCTAAGCCTACTGGTTGTGCAGCACCAGGCTAAAGGTCAAAGGTGACAGATCATCTGCTGCTGTGGCCCCCAGACTCTGGACCTCTCTCCCCCTCAGCCTGAGATCAGTGGACTCAGTGGTCTCCTTTAAAAAGCAGCTGAAGACTCACCTGTTCAAGCTGGCTTTTGCATGACCTTCTTCAACCCCTCTCTCTTTATTCTGCTCTCCCCACCTATTCCACCTTCCTCAGGATCCACTGATTTCCCTCTTTCCTATTCACTCTCTCTTTCTTAACATTTTTTAATCACAATTGCCTATTTTTTGCTCATTTTAAATATATTTTTAAACATTTTCTAAATTCTTTTTTATATTTTTACATTTTTTTGTTTTTGTGAAGTGCCTCGTGATTTTTATCTTGAGAGGCGCTATAGAAATTATATTTTCTTCTTTGTGTTGTAGCTCTGGACCCCAGAGTTGACAGCATTAGTCGAAGAGAGGCGCATTTATTCAGCTCTTGTCAAAGCAGGAATTCGTATAAAAATCCTTTATCTGATTAAATGATGAGCTAAAGCTTTAAGCCCCTCAGCTGGCCTGCACAACTTCTGTTCTGGTCTTGACCTCAGGACTTCAGAAGTGGGAGCAATAAATAAAACCCAGGTGTAATGTTTCACCGGAGGGCGTGTCGTGTGGACTTGTGCTCCACTCCTTTCTGACTGACAAAGTTTTACACCACTGAGCTGTTTTTAGGACCGCTTTCTGTCATCTGAGACCAGAGATGACCAGAAAAACGGTTATTGTTTGAATTCATGACCACGAACTTGTGTTTGAGTTTTAGCTAACGGCGGTAGATTAGTTTGACTCCGACTTTCTGCGCTATTTAAGCCAAATGACAACAGTCCATTAGAAAGTAACGTTTAGTAGAAGTTTACTGCAGCGCAACACGGTTAAAATCCTCTCAGTAGCACCGATTCCCCCCGTTAAACGTCCGCTTTAAACGTGTTTCCTGCTGTTTGCGGCTGAAGCAGCTGGCTTTGTTGCATTAGCTGTTCCAGTCTGGTAGCGATTAGAGGGGTGATTTGTCAGGACAGAGCCGAATTCGTGTTTAAATAAAGAGGCTAGCATTCCACTCGCAAGGGCGAGTCTCGTTTAAACTAAAGGAACCGCTTCCGCTCGTTGTCTTTAGTGATACCGACCGTTTAATTAAGTAATGAGCTCGCGCTAATTAGCTAACGATAGCATAACAAGGCTGAGCTAGCTAACTAGCTAGCACCAACTCGTTAGCATCCTGCTAGCGCTAGCACCTTCCTTTCATCTCCTCCTCCCCCCAGTCTAGAAATTAGGTTATAATCTGCACATATTTAACAAACGGTGGCAAAAGAACACACAGTCCAAAAAAAGATATCACAAAAGTCTTCAGGAATAAGAAAAGCGACAACGAAATCTCACCTTAATTAGCGATTAAATAGCCTTGTTGCTGCTGTCAATCCCGGTTTATTCCCCCGTTTTAATCCATCAGAAACGCTCCCAAATCCCATCCACAATGTAGCCGCGCCGTCCGCTAAAATATCGTAATCCGCATAATCGCAGCGATGTCTTCGACCGTGAGCCTTACAGCCTTTTATTTGTGTGTTTTTCTGAGTTTATTCTGTTTTTTTCCCCTAACAGAGCAGGGTGTCCCTTTCCCCTTTCTTTGTTCTGTAATCCAGTAAAATTGAAACTCATTCGTCTCCTGCTAATCCCAGCCCCACTCAACACCATCATCCATTGGCTGCGATTTACATACGGGATTAACTCGGGAACCTCTGGCGAACCCTCCAGGAAGGAATATTTACACTAAATATCCACATTTCCTTATGAGTATATTGATTCCATCTAATTTATCGTTACAGATTATTAAAAAACGTTTTCCCACTTCACATTTTCTGCTCCACCAATCTCTGAGATGCTGTACTGCATTATTTTTAGGATTAGGGGTAGTCATAAGAACCAGGGATCCTGTAGCAGCATCGCTGTGGTTTGACTAAAATAACTCATCTGTTATAATGCAGGGAAAATTTCACACGAAGAAAAGTCATTAAAACAGTTTTTATTGTAATTCTGTGGATTAAAAATATAGACTTTTAAATAAAACCCTAAAATCGGGGTCTGGGAAAAGTTTAAATCCAGCCCTTCTAAGGTGATGATTAGCTTTTCCAGCAACATAAACACATGTATGAGTGGTTCTGCATTTTAAAGTAGCCTGTAATTCAAACAGAGAAGGGGAAACATGGTTGATTTGTTATAAATGTTCTCAGGATTAATTGAAAAGTCATTAAACTTTGATAAATTAATGCTGGTCTAGTATTAGGTGCATATTCTTACTTTTCATGAGGAGAAAACTGTTGGTAGGACACGATAAAGTGTGTGGAAAAAACAAGTAACAGGATTTTTGTTACAATTCAAACAGATATTTTTTCTAGAAAGCAAAAACAATTCTTTAAGAGCAAGTCACCCCCAATTCAACCTTTTTTTCTGATAAACTATATAAATGCGTGTCTAATCGTGCTGCAGACAAGTGTAGTCAATAGTTTAGCACTTTTGTGCATTTTGGTTACAATTTTAATTTTCCTCCTAAAACTGTCAGTGTTGTGCCGTTGTCAGGTAAAAACTCTGCACTGCATTTGAATTTAAATCTGCCATCGCTATTGGCTAAGAGGTACCCTAGAACGTTAGCTGGTACCATATGATGTCACAATGTCGTTGTGAGCCTGTTTGTGTGTGTATTTGTTTGCAGCTCCGCCCTCTTGGTCTGCTAGGCAACAGCATTTTTCAAACAGGAAGTGGGAGTTGAGTAAGGATCTGGTAGGAGGTGACTTGCTCTTTAACTATTCACAGAATTGTGTGTTGGAATAAACATTTCTCTTTAAAATTCAGTAAATGCAAATGTTTTAATGTATAAATATATATAACTAAAACATATAGTTACACACACACACACACACACACACACACACACACACACACACACACAGGACCATGGGGTATTTTAACACCCTTAGACACCACGGAGGCATCTGAGGTTAAAGAGCAAGTCCCCCCCTACCAGAGTCTAACTCCTCTCCCACTTCATGTTTGAAAAATGCAACAAATGCTGTTGCCTGGCAGACCGAGAGGGCGGAGCCGCTAACAAACACACACACACAGGCTCACGACAGCATTGTGACATCATAATGTACCAGCTAACATCATAGCATACCTCTTAGCCAATAGCGATGGCAGATATAAATTCAAATACAGTGCAGAGTTTTTACCTGACAACGACACAACACTGACAGTTTTAGGAAGATTATTTAAGTTTTAACTAAGATGCACTGAAGTGCCAAATTATTGACTACACGTGTCTGCAGCACAATTAGACACTCGTTCATGTTGTTTATCAGAAAAAAAAAGTTGATTTGGGGGTGACTTGCTCTTTAAGTTCCCACTCTGAGACAGAAATTTAAAAACTTCAGGTTATTTTTTTTTGTAACTGAGGACCCGAGCTTGGATGGATGAGATCGCCCGTGGAGGGTGAGATTATTTTTTTGTTCAGAACTTCCAACAGGATTTAGACAAATTCAATGTTTGAGCTTTAAATATATTTTACTTTTTACAGTTACTTATTCAAAGGTCACCAGTTAACCCAGTCTGCCCTTCAGCTGAAACTGGGGCACATGGATAAGCTTCACACAAGGTAAACAAATAAAAAGGTGATACCAGGAGGACGTTTCCATCGCTGGGAAACTTCTGAGGTTTTTATTTCCACATAAAGAAATGATGACCTCCCCTTCTGCATTAGTTTTTTTCGACTGCTAAAACTCAAAAAGCAAAAATGAGGCACAATTTTCACAACCTCTACTTCTGTTCCCAATCGCTTGACTCAATTTATCACAACTTAAGATTTCCTTATCATATTAGAACTCTGACTTTCCTCCTTTACACTCTGATGTCAATTTCACATTAGCTTGCTGTCAAAACACAACACACAATTTTCAGGTTTACTCACACTTCTCACAGAAATTCTCAAGTTTCAATCAACAACACACAAATATTCAAATCTCTAAACTTTCGGGTCTGGCGAGCAATTTGCAATCAGGGACTGCAGCATAAAAGTAAGTTTCCACAAGGCTACCCAGGTGCATGAGTGGTTTCAGGACCACCCACGGTTTTCCATTTATACCTTCCACCTTATTCCTCCTTCCTCAATCCCACTGAGGAGTTTTTCTCAGCCTGGAAGTTGAAGGTGTACGAAAGGAATCCACAGAGCCAGGTCCCACTGCTTCAAGCCATGGAGGAGGCTTGTAGAGATGTGGCCTTTGAGGCCTGTCAGGGCTTCATGAGGCACTCGAGGCGGTGATAAATTGAGTCAAGCAATCGGGAACAGAAGTAGAGGTTGTGAAAATTGTGCCTCATTTTTGCTTTTTGAGTTTTAACAGTTGAAAAAAACTGTAACTGTAAAAATAAAAGGTTTTGTCTCAAAATTTATGTGTGTGTGTGTGTGTGTGGGGGGGGGGGGGGGGGGGTAACTGTAAAATTAAAATGTTGTCTCAAAAAGTGGGCACTGTCATACATTCTGTGTGTAATTTTTTGTGTTCCATTTACATCAGTGGTTCCCAACCTTTTTCCCCAAGGGACCCCGTTTTTTACCAGTAAAATTTCTGACGACCCCCTCCCATTCTCTCTTCCAGTACAAACAGTATTAAGAAATGACAAAATTGTTCAAGCACATTTTAATATGCTTTGATTTAATAGATAACAGTAATAGTAGGCTCCAGTACAGAACAAAGTCATTAACAAAACCAAACAGAGCATAATGTGCTTGACAGTTTGTATTACTTTTCTGAACACATTGTTTCTTGTAAACACTGATAAATCAATCATTCCTTTCATTAAACGTTTGACACATAAAAAATACACTTAGCAAAATGTACTTAAATGTGTATATTACTGTTTATACTAGATTATTTACTGTAAAGGCTGTGATTAATCAACCAGTCCCATCTTTAATGAACTTTTGACACTTGAAAATAAAACAGTGAGCTGAGCAAAATGTTCTTAAAAGTGTGTTACTTTTTCTGTACTAATTATTTCCTGTCTTAACATCAGTAAACTTTCCACTCATGAAAAAAAATGTGAGCAAAATGTAGGCTATAAACAAGTAATAAATGAAGTTTTAACCCCTTAAAGTGGAGAGGTCCGGGTGACCCACTGAGAGGCTTTGGCGCCCCCTTGTGGGGGTCGGGACCCCCAGGTTAGGAACCACTGATTTAGACAGTTGTGTTTTCAGTTTTGCTCTTCAGTGTTCTTTCCACGCTTGGTAGTGTTCACCCAAAGGCTACTTGTGTTTACAGTTTTTCTCAATTGTTTACACACATTTTCTGGTACTTGAGACACAATTACCACAACATGTAACCAATTCACCAACCCCCTTAACCAGTTCTGCTAAACTATAAGCACAATTCCTGCTTTGCACTCAAATTGCAACTCTAAAACACACGTTTCTCAACACACTACACACAATTCTCTGCTGTTGGCACAATTTTCATCCAGAAAACATCTTGTTTTCACAAGGAACACACTGCTATTCAAATATGCACACTGACTCATCACAAGGGCAAACACCCGTCACACAGTTTTACAATCAGCAATCAGAGCTTTAGCATAAAAGGGCAACAGGCGAGCTCTTCTGTGTTGGAGCAATGGATGCCAACATTGGAAACAGAGGCAGAGCCAGAGGAGTGAGAGTGAGAGGAGGACGGGGAGGACGGGGATGAGGAAGACCAAGGACCGTAATCTCTGATGAGATCCGAGCCACTTTGTTTGATCATGTGGTCAACCATGGTCTTACTGTACAATGAGGGAGGCTGGGCAAAGAGTACAGCCACATTTGAGCAGGTACACTGTAGCATCCATCATCCGGACCTTCCGAAATGAGAAGAGGTAATAAATTTTCTCTGACTAGAAAATGGCAGTACTGCATATCAATACAATCAGTATTCAATTAGTATAGTAGTAGTATTGCCTGTGGATGGTTCTGTTGGACAGTAAAAATACTGTAAAGTATGTTTCCAGTATTTACCTACTTTCTATTCACATTATTTTACTATTTGTGTGGCAGAACTGAAAGAATACCGACACGAGGAGGTCGGGAACGTCTTCTGTCTCCTGAACAGGAAACTGAAATGCCCAACATGGTCCTAGAAAACAATGCCATAACACTACAGCAAATACAAATTATAGAAAACAACGACAAGTTTCAAAATATAGATAGGGTCAGCCTAGCAACACTGGACCGTGTCTTGCGAAGATATCATCTCAGGATGAAGCAGGTCTACAGGGTGCCGTTTGAACGCAACTCAGAAAGAGTCAAAGAATTGCGATATAACTATGTGCAAGTGAGTCCCGCAACTGTGTACAGTAAATTATACATATTTCAGTATTGTAATCATAATAATTGTGCTTCACAATAGTGACCCCTCCATGCTTATTTCTGATATTGTCATGTGTGTTTCAGAGAGTCCTTGAGTTAGAGGCAGCTGCAGCGGAGCACCAGTTCATCTTCATCGATGAGGTTGGGTTCAACCTCACAAAAAGACGAAAGAGGGGAAGGAATGTCATTGGCCAGCGTGCCATTGTTGAAGTCCCTGGCCAGCGCGGAGGGAACATCACAATGTGTGCAGCGCTTGGCTACCATGGCATCATCCATCACCATGCTACCCTTGGCCCCTACAACTCCGCCCATCTGATCACATTCCTGGACACCCTACACAACACACTCATTCCACCAGACCAGGTAGATGGCCCAGAACAGCCCAGGTACGTTGTCATTCGGGACAACCGAATACGGTACGACCGACAGCCACAAACCCGTATGCCTCTTCTCCAAGCTATGGAGGATGCATGTGGAGATATAGCAGCTGATTCTTTTCATGGCTGGAATCGCCATGCTAGGAGATAATTCCCCCCTGCTTGGCCAGGGACAACATTGCTTGTGATGTGGACGAGGCGCTGTGGCCAGACCGCAACAGAAGAGAGGATGCAGCATAGTTTTCTTTTTTACTGTAACTGTATACAGTAAATTCTGTTGTATGTAGTTTATGTGTGCAACTTTGTGTTGGTTGGGAATGGAATAAACATTGTGTACAATGTTTTGTGGGAAAATAAAATAATTTCTACCATGTATTTGTGTGTTCAGAGTGTAAAAACAATATTCTGAAATAACAACACATGCATGTACATACTGTCTGTAGTATAGTAGGTGTAACACTGAACCAAAAAGGCTTTAGTCATTATGATGAATGAAGTGTTATCCATTCATCATAGTGTTTAACATTGAGCACATGAGTGTTCTGCTGGTGTAACTGATCTTCTGTGTGAAAAAGCCAAAGAAGGACGGGGTTAATGATTAAAACTGCTGTTTAACTGTTAACCCAAGGACAAACCCACACCCGTGATCAGAAATCCATAAAATACTCCAACTCCAGGCCACATTGTAAATATTTAATGACTCAATCTCCAAAAAAAATCACTGCAGCAATGATCCAGAAAGGAAAGAACCCCCGTGAGTGGGGAGGACCACGTCCAATAACATCCAGTGGGAGGTTGAAGATGTATCCGAGCTGACCGAAGGAATCACCAGATTTTCTCCTGTTAAGCAACCAAACCTTCTGGCGAGTCCAACACTTGGAAGACTTTACAGTAGAAACAAGATAATCTGAGCCTGGATGAGTTTGGGTTTCAGCTTCTGTTACAGCCCTTCAGAGACTGAGAAAGGGTCAGTAAAGCACTGCAGGTACATCCTATTACATTACAAATGGGCTCATATTTTACATATTACCACATGGATGGAGCCTGTTGAAATAAAATAAAAAATACATCCACAGCAAATAGAGTCAACGGTGCACTGATCCAGGGTCAGGTAGTGATTTATTACCACAGCTGAATGCAGAAGGCCTCCTTGGTTCATCAGTGCTGATTTTCAGACACGATCATCGTTTTTTTTTTACCTGTACCAGATCCGCTCTTCCTCCTGCAGACACGACTCAGCCTAATAAACTGTCACAGTGATGCTATGGGCTCTGGTTATTTCATTAGAGCAGGAGTTACCGACGCTTTCCAAATGCTGCCTGGTAGTTTCTCTTTGATGAAAAAAAAAGACATAAAAATGCACTCAAGTGGACAAAGGCAATTAGTGTTTGCCACATGGCAGCTCTGGAATCAGCTGATGTTTTAAGCTAGCAGGTGGCTGGCATTAGCTTGGTTTTAATGCACTTTTTTGTAACTGATTCCATTAAGAACAAGCTGGAGTTGTGTTTACAGACCCAAGTCATGAACATGCTCATCATTCTGGAAAGAATAACAAAACAAGGGTTTGGAGCGCACTCGGCACCTGTACGCTGGGACATTATTACAAAAAAATGATTTAAATGCCAAAAACCTGATCGGAACTTTAAAGAAATGCTAAAAAAACTTTTCTACTCTACTGTTTTTGTTGTTCTTGCTCAAATCCTGTATTTTAATATTTCTACATAGGCTTGTGCATTACAATGAGTTTGAGACCAGTTCAGGTGTGGAATTGGCAAACCACTGTTTGTGAGTTGCAGAGCGTGGACACAGCTCATCTACAGTACAGAGGATTATTACAAAGCAAACAGCAAAATGACGGAATAAATAAACGAAATATATCAACCAGACCCAGTCCTTCAGCTCCTCTTTAGTCCATCAGCAGGTTTTTGTTCCAGATCACAACTCAGATTTGTCCTGAAACTGCTTTAAAGCATCAAAGCTGCCAGGATGTTGAGTTCTCAGCAGCTTACTCATAATATCTCTTTAAGTTTATCCTTTGAAGCCGATCAAGATCCTCTTGATCGGCTAACAGGCGCCTTCTGCACCAACACATGAAATCACTCAGAACAGACGTTCAATGTTTTGGTTTTGACTGTAAAAGAAAATGTTCCTTCATCGCTGCGACGGCAGATCAACTTCGTGTCCCGGATCGGTCAGAGTCAGGTTCCCCGTCTTTTCCCCGCTGCTTCTAAATCAGTGCTGCTCCTATGAATAAATGTATATATTACTGATGATGTGAGATTAATAGTGATCTAGAGAGAAACAGAGTGAGGGGGCACCTACATCTCGAGTGCTGTCTGACTCCTGGTGATGAATCCCGTTTGCTGAATTTGCACCGAGGACCTGAAAAACACAAATGATTCATTCATGCAGGCGTTTAACTGCAGCCAAGTCTCAACTTCTACCTTCAAATACTGAAATAATTACATATTTCTATTACTTTCAAATAAAAGAAAAACTTCCAAACAGAAACACGGAATTCCATATTACTGACGCTACAATGCCACTCCAGTAGGTGGTGGCGATTTGTGCCACTCAGAAAGATAAAGAGGAAGTGTCAAAGTTCAAGTCAGAAGGACTCAAAACTTTATTTCTGACTGCATTTGTTCTGTTATTGTTTGGAATTAGAAAGAAGAAGAAGGAGGAGAAGGAGGAGGAGGAGGAGAAGAAGAAGGAGGAGAAGAAGGAGGAGAAGATGAAGAAGAAGGAGAAGGAGGAGAAGATGAAGAAGAAGGAGAAGATGAAGAAGAAGAAGTAGAAGGAGAAGAAGAAGGAGAAGAAGAGGAAGAAGACGATGAAGATGAAGAAGGAGAAGAAGAAGAGAAGATGAAGAATAAGATGATGAAGATGAAGAAGAAGGAGAAGAAAGAGAAGAAGAAGAAGGAGAAGAAGAGAAGATGAAGAAGAAGAAGATGATGAAGATGAAGAAGAAGAAGGAGAAAAAAGAGAAGAAGAAGAAGGAGAAGAGAAGATGAAGAAGAATAAGGAGAAGGAAGAGAAGAAGAAGATAAGAAGGAGAAGAATAGAAGAAGAAGAAAGAGAAGAAGAAGAAAAGGAGAAGAAGAAGAGAAGATGATGAAGAAGAAGAAAGAGAAGAAGAATAGAAGAAGAAGAAGAAGAAGAAGAAGAAGAAGAAGGTGAAGGAGAAGAAAAGATCTTCTCTATAGCACCTTGCAGAATAAAAATTAGTGATGGGATTTATTGCTCTTTCATGGGAGCCGTTCATTAGTCAGTCGTAGCCGTTCAAAAGACTGACTCCTTTCAACGAAGTGAAGCCGGGCGGGAGGGGGGGGGGGTGATTTGGGGGAGTGTGTGTGTGTGTGTGTGTGTGGGGGGGGGGGGGGTATCAAGGGCAACGTTTTCCTGCGGTGTCTGTGAGGGCGCACGGGACTATGGTGGGCGGGGTTTGAGCGGGTGAGTTTGACCGACTTCCGGGGAGGTTTGTTAAGATAAACGGCTCTGACTGCCATATGCATCGCTAAGAAAACTATCCTCTTGAAATGGAAAAATAGAGAAACTCTCTGCATTAACCAGTATAGAAATCTTTTGTTGGATCATATTGCACTTGATATAGCCTCTGCTTCCACTTCAGATGAATCTCTCTGGGCTCCTTTGATTGGTTCCATCACATAGCGAGGGTGGGGGGCCGTTGATGTTGTCCTGCGGGATGGTGTGGGTGGGGGGGTGTGGGGTCTGAGTTTGGAGTATCCGGATGTTCCCTGGAGGTGGGTTCACTGGGGGTGTCTGGGACTGGGGGGCCGTTGCCCATCTCTGGAGGTGCTTGGGTTGCCTCGGGGGGTGGACTGCTGGCGGTTGTGACTGGGGCCTCTTGGGGATCTTGGCGGCAACCATGGGTCACTGCCTGGCAGCTGCAATGCCCCTGGGCGGGTCTGGGTGGGGGCCTGGGGGCTCGAGGTTTGGGGGTGGCCGGCCCCGTGTGGGGATCTGGGCGGGGCCTTGGGGGTCGTGTCCTGACATGTGTGCTGCCGGGAAGAAGGCAGGAACACGCAGCAGTGCCTGGCCCGGGTTCGGGGGCCTCAGGTAGACCTTGGCTCCTCTGCCGTTCCATCACAGGGGAGGGGGAGGTCCAGCAGGGGGAGGACCCAACCTTACCTGGATGTCCCATGTCTTATATATTCTGGAAGTTGTGCAAATGCAGGGATGGGCATAGATATTCTGCTGGGGTGGGGCTGGGTTGGTGCCCTCGGGCTCCGTGAGGCTCTGTAATGCTGCTGCTTTGGGCCCTGGCAGGATGGGCTGGGGTCTCCATGCCCTGGGTGGCAGTTTGACAACAGAGGTGCCTATTGTTGCCAGTGGGGGAGCTGGCACCCTGGAGGGCTAAGCCCAACCAGCCATTCCTCCCCATCCCCGCATATTTCTCTCCTCCTGCTCCCTCACATCATCACACAAACATACACATAGGATCTTGGGGGGTGGGCAAGTCAGGGAGTGCGGGTATGGACCCCATTTCCGCATTCCTGTGGCAACCTGCCCCCCAATTTTATTTGCACCTTATACACTTCCACTGACGACATTCCACACAAACACACACTTAGGGCCTTGGGAGTGAGCACATTCAACGGCATTTGGCAGGGGGATATCTCAGCCTCCTCCCGGGTGCCGGTGCCCACTTCCAATTTTAAACCGCACTTAGACACCGATGGCTGAGGGTGTAAGTGGGGAGGTGCGGTGGCATCAGCTGGCATAGGCCGGATGACGCCCGCACTGCCCACTCACCACAGCCATGGAATACACCTCATGATCACACAACACTATATTGGAGCAGGCGGAGGGAGACTAGGGGTCTTAGCCACCTCTGTTGTTGCTAGGCTTCCTGGGGCTGGAGGCTAGGAGGGAGATCTGGCCGTCTGGTTGGGGGTCTGGGGTGGTAGGTTGCTGTGCTCAGGGTTGGGCGGGGGAGCCTGCTCATCAGCACCCCAGCAGAAAGGGTCAAACTCTGGGAACTGGTGATGGTTGTACCCCATGTGCAGCAGTACCGGGACCAGAGTGAATAGGGTGTGTATGGGGAGCATGAGTGGGTGTCCGGCGTGCATTTTTGTAAGTCTTGGGTTGTATGTGTATGTGTGAGCATGAGGGAGTGTGTGACTGTGTTTGTGTATGACTGTATATGTCAGGTGGGGCCTTTGACTCCTCCCCTCTCCTGGAACTTCTCTTGATGATATAGATCTCTGTCCCCCCTCCCCCTGCCACACCTGGTGTGAGGGGTTGTGCCTTGGTCTGTCTGAGTGTTCGTGGCAACCGGGTCTGGGGGTTTAAGATTTTGGCATCTGCCTGATAGATCCTGGTGGCTGCCTGGTGGGGTCTGGGTCCCTGGGCTCTGCTGGGTCCCCGGCGGGGGTGGTCGCCCCTGGGTCCCGGGTCGCTGGGTCCCGGGCTCGGCCGGCTAGGGGGTGGGAGGCTGCGGGCGGGCCTGTGGGCTTGCCACTGATGTCTCCCGGGACTCTGCCGGCTGCTGGTTGTGGCCCCCCGGGGCGATCCTCTGTACCTCTCGAGGGGACGGGGGCCTTTCTGGTTGCAGTCTCCTTGGGGTTCCTGTGTTCTGGGGCAGCGCCTGGATCTCTTGGACTTGGAGCTCCCCCCGTCTCCTGTGCGTCTTTGGGGGGCGGATCTGTGGTCCCTCACACTCTCTGTTGGACGCTCCTATAGAGAAACCTTACATATACAAGCGCGTGTACACACACAGGTGCTCACATGGTGCTCTCATAAGTATGGGCTTGGGCACGTTCAACACATGTCTTAAGACTATGGTGGGCACTTAATGCACTGTGATTTATTATTGTGATTCTTCAGTTAAACAATGTTGATTTTATATTTCCTCATCAAGTTGACGCAGTGATAGCTAGATCTTGTTGTATTGTTGTTGTGTCCCATTTTTTTTGTCCTTTTGCTTTTTTTTGTCTTTTTCTGCAGGTCTAGAAGCAGACTCTTGTTCATTATTGTTTATTTTTGTGGACCCCCCCCCCCCCCCCCCCCCCCCGTCTCTCCCCACCTTTTCTTTTCCTTTCCCTTTCACCTCTGTCTCCGTGTCTGGTCGGAATTACAAAGCATTCAACAACAATAACAATAAAGTTTTAAGTATCAGGCGTGACATTAAAAGCAGACACTTTGATGCTCCACCTGAGAGTAAATCTGTAAGGCTTGTTACCAGCATTCAGACATCAATTCTGCTTGCTTCACAGCCAGACAGGACACGGTAAAAAAACAAACAAAAAAAAACAAAAAACAAAAAGATAAACGGCTCTCTGCAGGGACTCGGCTCTCATCATTCACTCTGAAAACCCGTTCAAAAGATTTGATTCGTTCGGGAACGCCCCATCACTAATAAAAATCACGAGGCGCTTCACAAAAACTAAAATTTAAAATATAAAAAGAATTCAAAAAATGATTTAAAATATGTTTAAAATGAGCAAAAATAGACAATTGTGATTACAAATGTAAAGAAAGAGAGAGTGAATTGGAAAGCTAAGCTAAGCTAAGTCGATCTCAGCTTAACTACAAAGCTATGCTACGCTAAGCTAAACTAAGCTAGGTGAACTTTAAACTCTATTGTCTTTATTTAAAACATATCATTGCTGCAGGTGTTGAACCAGAAATTAAAAACAAGAATATTTAGAGAAACATCGACTCGTTTACGGAGTAGAACTCTTCATCCAAACATCCTCATGTTTGGATGAAGAGTTCTACTCCGTAAACAAGGGAGAAGCAGATCTTGTTCTTCTGAAGTTCAGATTAATGATTTTTATACAAACATATTTATGTGCATATGTTCCCTAAGAACAACAGATTAGATTAAACGTGATCTTACCTGGCTTTTGTCTGGACGTTTACGCATGGCCTGGACCAGTTGGTCCACTTCCTGGTTGTGCTCCAAGGCGTTCCTCAGGGCTTCCTCGGTACCGAGCAGCCGCTGGCGCAGGCGGGTCACCTCTGAGTCCAGAGCCGAGGGGTCCAGCATGGAGTAGCGCCGGTGGTCGGGTGAAGATCGCTCCCGACCCTGAGGAACGCAAAGAGCTCATAAATGATCGTCAACATTTCAAGGCTAAATCTAAGCTCCGTTTTCAAGCCTCGTGAATCCATGTGATGTTTTTAAAATGTTTTCATGCGAGACTTTTAAAAATAAACATTCTGATCCTGGTTCCCACCAGCAGAAGCACTTTCTCTCGTAGGGTTTTGATGTCGTCCTGAAGTTTCTGCTCCTTGACCTTCCACTCGGCCTTGTGCACCTCCCGGCTCAGGTCCTTCTCCGTGTCCCGCGAGTGACGGTGGGACTCCAGGAGTAGCACCCTCAGCTCGTTCAGGCTCCTGAAACAAAAACATGAAAACCTTTAACGTTTAGTGTCTTTTCCAAACTGATTCCTGTTTTTGTTGACTTGCTGGACTTACGTGACTTTGTGTGAACTCCGGTTACCATAAAGCATACAAATCAGAACAGCTTTAATGATAAACATTCTAGAATTATAAACTATAAAAGGAAAACTGCTCCAAACTCTGTGAGGAAAACGCTCCACTTTTCACTCTTGAAATAATTACTTTTCTTTTATCAGAAAGTTTTCTAGTTTCTCTGGTTGCTGCACACATTTAATCAGACTTTTATATTTAATATTTATGGAATAAAAGGGCTCTTTTTTTTAAACCTAAAGAGGGTTTTTCTTACAGATACAGATTTAGATAAACTTTAAAATAATCTTATTTTAAAAAATCGAATAAGATCTCAGATGATCTTGATTTCTCATGGTCTGCTCTAAAAAACAAATTTTATTGTCTAGAAGTTTCTTTGCTAGTTTGAAATCACAAGAACTGACTAAAGCTCTCATTAAAAACCATAAAACCAAGAAATAAAATGTTTCTCCTCATCCTGTCGGGATGTGGAGGGATTTCATCTCTAAACCAGTCAGCCATTACCTTTCTTTCTTCAGCAGCTCCTGGCTGATGCTGACGAGCTGCCCCGAGGCATCGTGGGACTTCCTGGTCATGGACTCCAGCTCGGCCTCCACGCGCATCTTCTCCTTGGCGAGGACTTCAGCCTTCTTCTCCCCGGAGTGAACTTTACTCTCCAGAGCTAACGCCACAGATGAGGGAGGGGAAGAAATAAAAATAACTGTCGTGGGAATTCATGAATATAATTTTTACAAATATAATCTCACAACTTCAGCACAGACAAAGTGGTGGGGACCCCCTTGGCCCCAGGTTGGGAACCTCCAGCTTAGACCATACACGTAAACACGTAGACGCATCATTTGGGCGCTGGAGAGCGTAACAGCATCGCCGCCATATTGAGTGGGTTCCTCACTCTCCAAACCCGACTGGAGTCAACGCAGACCGAGCACCCACGCCTGTTTTCTGTGCAACAACCGGCGTACCAGAATGAACCGTTGCTCTGCGTGTATGTGACTGAACTCTCAATGAGACAGTGAAAATACGACAAGTTCTTCTGGTGAGAAATAGAACAAAAATATGTCCGAATACAACGTTAAACACGATCACATAACTAGTGTTTCCATATTATTATTTCACATTATATTAAAACCATCTTTGCTCATAAAACATGAAAAAATGTTTGTTTATTGCTTTTTCTTGATGTTGACCTGACTCGCCGTCTCATTATTATTATGAAACATTTATTATCTTTAGTCAGAAAAAACATTCAAATTAAATCAAACATAAAAAAACTGTTATTCTGTCATTTGAAATGCAGTCGCTCCTGTTGGTGGAAAAGCAGCATTTATAGGAAAATCCCCATTGAAATGAACCGCGACCTCTTGATGTGGATCATTTACCTCCGACCTGTGATTTGAGCGCTTCGACCTGCGAGGTGAGAGTAGAGACCTCCTTTTCCCTTTTCAACAACTTCTCCATCGTTTCTGGGAGAAAAACAGAATAAAAATCATGTTTAGAGAATTCAGTGAAGAAGGAAATGATTGAAATGTCATGTTTCCTGCTCTCTGATTGGCTCCTGCCCCACATCCCTCGGTTTAGCTTTATAAAAAGTCCTGCATGTTTATCTTTAGCAGTCTGATGTCATTTATGGGGATTTTCTGTCAAAAATACCACAGAAACGGCTTGTTTTGTGTCTGAAAACCCTTCTGAGCCTTAAGAGGTGAGTTTTATTCCACTTGAACGAGGCTAAGCTAACCGTTTACTCCTTTTGTTCCAATCCTTTATGCTAGATCTAATCTTTTACTCCTCCGCGGAGACCAGGCTGCCTGTTTTAAAGATCTCAGCACAAAAATGTGCAGTGGACGGCACATGTGGGCTGAAGTAGCTGCAGCATACGTTCACTTATGCTGCATCAGATTTGGACCAAGTTCAGTTCCATCGACTGTTGCTGACGCTGTACTTTTGCTCTAATGCAGAGATGAGCTCAACGAAGTTTGTCTGATTTATTTAAAGGTTTTCCGGGTAAAACTTTAAAGTAAATGTCTATAAATACCTTCGATATTCTGTTTGAGAGTCCTCTTATCATCTGAAAGCTCATTGTCTTCTATCATCTGTGAAAGAACAAAACGCTGTGAAAATCCAAATGTCATTTTCCAGGATTTCCTGCCGGATTCTCCTCAGCTTCTTACATTTGCATCGCGGGACGTGTAGCGGTCGGACTGGACGGCCTGGAGCTGGTTCGCCGTCACCCTCAGCTTCTCCTCCAGTTTTTGGATCTCCTCCTGGCTCTCCGCCTGAGCCTTCTGCAGAGCCTGGTAATCTGTCATCTTCTTCTCTGATAGCTCCAGTCGGTCCTGCAGCTCCGCCCTGGTTTTGTACTGCTCCGTTTGGAGCTTCTCCATCTCTGCCA